AAACTGCCAGGAAGTGTACATGTGGGCGTTACTGCCCCCTTGTGGTGACCTGATGAATTTGCTTTTTTTTTTCCTTCTTTTTTCTCACCAGTTGAGTAAACTTGGAGGGGGAGAGATGTTTTCTTCTTCCAGGGTGTTGACACAGTGCAAACGTGCTACGCTGTCACAAAAAGTCTGATTTTTTTTTTTTATAGAGAGAACACAATGGAATCACACATTACAGCCCGCGCAATTACAACACAGCTGCGACAAAGAGCGAAAGAAAAGCGGGGCGAGTTCGAGAGACAGACGCTGGATGCTTGCCATGCAGTTTGATCGTATCTGGAAAAAGCTGATGTTTTTTTTTTGGTCAGCAAAAAACAACAGCACAATAGTGAAAACCCAACAAAGATGTCTCGAGATAAAGATTTCTGGCAAAATCCTGAGCAGTGCTGAGACTTAAAGGTTTAATTTGACATTTGGAAAAATATGTTTAATTGCTTCTCGGTGAGAGTTGCATGTGAAAATCACCACCGCTCTCATGGCTGTGTGGTTAAGATCTAAAATGAGAAGTGGTTAGCTTAGTTTTGTTTACCACAGAGACTAGTGGTAGTCATATAGTGCATATAAAAGATGACATAGCCTCCAGGTCTGGAAAGGGAAGCCGGTGCTCAGGTGCCTTAATGGCCAGCAGGGGGCGCCTCTTCCACTGAGATCAGTTCTATAGGAGTCTATGAGAAAATTATCCTGTTTCTCATCTAATTTACTATCTCAGCAATCTTTTTCTTAATCAATTTATGGTCTTAATCACTTGTCTCAAGTCTCCTTCAATATGGTGTGATGTTCTTTTTGACAGTGATGGTCCCAGTTTGAGCAAAATAGCCAATAAAGGAGGATATATTTTAATTCAAGGCTACCTTGTCGCTGACAGATCACCACAAGGCATAGTGTCCTCAGCTTCTCCAGTCAGATCCACTTCTTGCTTGTTATTTTTGGTTTTAAATATGCCAAACTTGAGGCTTCAAAACAGGAGTCCACAAAGCAACGGGTGACATCAAGGTTGCTACGTCCATCCTTTTAATGCAATCTATGGTACTAGGTGAAGGCAGCTACTCTATATAAATGCTAATGTTGCTCTTTCTCTCTCACACACACAGACTATTTTGTTTAATCAATACACAGACAGTGTAGTGATTTTTGGGTTTGGAGGGGGGTATAGAGAAGAACGACTGGGAAACTTTCTCCCCTACAGCCGGTTCCCCAGACACAGATTAAACCAAGACATGGACTGTAACAAAGGTTCAATGAAGATCTCCATTTTACAACCACCTTTTCCCTTTTCTTGAGTTAAATGTGAAGATCACTGCTAGTCTCATGTGGTTCCCAAGACACAGATTAAACCTCATCTTAGATTTAAGGAAAGATTCAATAAAGATTTCCATCCAAAAATGTCTGTGAGTTTAAACATTTAGATCTGACCTTTAAAAAATGTTCAAGAATAATCACGTGATAACTCATCCTGTGGCATCATTAGTGGTAAAATAAATAGATAATTAAATAAAACTTTCAGGCTGCAGGGTGGTGCAGTTGGTAGCACTGTTGCCTCGCAGCAAGGAGGTTGCCGGTTCGCGCCCCGGTGGGGGCACCGGAATCTTTCTGCGTGGAGTCTCCATGTTCTCCCCATGCAGCGTGGGTTCTCTCCAGGTTCTCTGGCTTCCTCCCACACAGTCCGGAAACATGTTGAGGTTAATTGGTGATTCTAAATTGTCCGTAGGTGTGAATGTGAGTGTGCTTGGTTGTCTGTCTCTAAGTGTAGCCCTGTGATAGACTGGTGACCTGTCCAGGTGAACCTGCCTTCACCCTAAGTCAGCTGGGATAGACTCCAGCCCCCCATGACCCTAGTGAGGATTAAGCGGTGTATAGATAATAGATGGATGGATAAAACTTTCAAGTATAACCTTGGGTACAATGGTCAAATCTATGAGTATGAGCTTGAGAAGATAGAAATGTTTCCCTCACAAATATAATTGTTATCCTACGAGATCCAAAACACTTTCTGACAAGTCAAACAAGTTTCTCGTTTGCATTTAGAAAAAGTGACAAATGAGCATAATTGCGAGTTGAATCTACTTTAGCTGAATTTTGGCTGTCAGCGCTCAGGAGTGTGTAGCTGACTCTGGGTGGCCATCAACCACCTGCAGGGTTACTGTATGGGAAAAAGTGATAAGACCGCAGATGTTCTGTGGATTCCATGCACCTTCAATGACAACTGATGTGGAAGAAACTATAAACTATAAAGCCCCGGGGTCCTCTGCATGGCCTTTGGAAAATCCAACACAGCCTAATGAGCGAGACTGTGGCACAATAAGTGCATGCATGTAGACCAGTAGGTGAACCGGTGGCCCAGTTCTCAGACTGAGAATTTACAACAAAATAACAAGAAAGAAAGTGCAACAGTTCTGCACAGGTGGGCTCTGCTCCCCTGTGGGAACCTGCTATGGTCTTGTCCAGCCTGAGAAATTGTCCAAGTGGACTAAAGGGTTACATATTGCTGGTTCTATCTTTGCAAAAGCAGTCAAAGACACAAATTAGTCGTAAAAATGTGGGCCTTCTTGGTGCTCGCTCTTGCTCTTACTGTTAGAGCATCAGAAACTAACAGCGACACGGCGGTGGAAGAGAAACCTGTCATAGCCAGAGCTAAACTGATGGTGAGTACAGACAGAAAAATCACTCTTCTTGTCGTGTTTAGAAAGGGTTCAGGACGTGGCGATATGAAATTAAATATACATGACAGGAGGAGAGGGGACACAGTAATGACATTGAAGGGGGGAAATGATGAGGGATAAGTCATGTGCTGTCATGTCAATTCTTGCTGATGTGAAACCTATTTCTGGCACCTTTGATCACACAAAGAGCGAAGCATGCACAATGCTGTTTGTCACGCTGTTTTAACAACTGCCTGTTGTCATCCCTGCAGGCTCCCAGTGTGGTCGGATGAGGCATAAAGAAATTGCCTGAGCTCTATCATTTCCTCCTGGAGCGATCAGGTTTATAGTATCCTTGTGCCCGTTTCATGTTTTTATTTTTTATTTTGATGAGACGTGACCTTTCTGCAAAAAACACAACTGATTTTCTCATGACCTCTTTTCTTTTTAGAAACAAAACAGTGTTCCTAGCTCGTTGCCAAGTGCAGTGCCAGCTCTGTGAGCTTTCCAAAAACTCTTCCAAGTTGAAATCATGCAAAGTGGGTCTAAAAATAGCAACAAAAAACCCCCCCAAAAAAACAAAACAGATGGATGTGCCTCATTCTTCACAACACTGCCTACCTGTTGTTTCTCCTTGATCTGCTTTTTTTTCCCCCCCTGCGTAGCCACAACTTGGAATATGATTCATCGGAGGAGAAGAATCCCCGTCTGATTTTCTATAACGAAAAGGACGAGGTTGTAAAGGTGAGATGTGAGTTCAGGGATCTTTTATTCATCCTGCCTTGTGATGGGGCTTATCTGGGGAGTGCCAGAATGTCAAGACAGACTCTTGTAGGGAAGTTTTAAGACTGCTGCATCTGATATCAGATCTCCTCCGTCAGATACCGAGTCGCACAGAGAGGGTGTGTTTGAAAGAAACGCTCCTAGTTAAAACAGAAAAAGTATATAAATCAGGCTTTCTGAGAGCTGAGCACTGTCTTTTTTTTTATTTTTTTGTACTGAGGCGGAATAGTTGATATGAATGCTGATATGCATTTGAACACTGCATGCCCTGAAATTACTACTTCCAAGTCTTTCCCTGCAGACATTTTTTTTTGTTATTTTCGTCAGTGTGGAAAAGCCTGTTATTGCAGTTATTGTCATGTGGGACAGAAAAACTCTCCAGTGAAACCAGTAATAATGAATTTCCTTTAGCGCTGGAATAAATGCACAAAGATGCACTTAAAAGAAAGCTGCTCTTACACTTTACTGCCTTCTTGAGTTGTGTTTTTACCTTTTCTTTTCCCATATAAAGTGTATATATGGAGGTCTATTTCTTGTCTTATACGGGCTCTAATGTTTTCATTTCATAATGTGTCCCATAATTTGACTTTAAGTTGATTAAATTACGCATTTGCAGAAGGAGCTTTTGCATTTTTACTAAAAAACCCAGTGTTACTAAACCATATTTTCCAAGTCAAGTCAAGTCAGCACTATTTACACAGCGACAGACGCTGATCCGAGAGGATTTGATATCAGATGCAGCAGCAGCAGCAAACCACTCTCTGCAAACACGTACACACTCAAAGCCTTTAACCATATGTCCTGATGCAAACATGCGTCTGTTTCCTGCAACATCAGACTGTTCCCGTGAAGAAAATGAAGGCAGACGAGATCAGCAGCCTCTTAGACTCACTCGGTTTCTACAAGAGGTCCAAGAAAGGGGAAGAGGTGCCAGAGGAGTTCCAGCATTTCCCCCTGCACGCCCCCAGGGACGAGCTGTGATGACACCTTGTGGCCAAACCCTGCCGCTGCACTTCCAGGTCGCATAAATGACGAGTGGGACCCAAAGGCCGAAAACAAGGAGCCCGGCCCCATTCTGAGGACTCGCTGGCTGGGTGCAGAGTGCAGGGTGTTGCTGTGTCATTGTGTTTATTTGCTACATTTAAATAAAAAATGCTATCAAACACTGAAAACTGTGAATCAAAGCATTCAAAGTGTGTGAGAATCTGCACCTGCATGCCACATTTGACCTCTACAGAGTCTGAATAACTACTGAATTCACAAATGGGATGAGCAAAATTTACTGGGCATCCTAAACGGCCACTAACAAACTGTCATGCCGTCGCTTCAGCCTTAATCCTCAGCCCGCCTCCTTCGCAATAATCTGATTAGCCGTAGTGTCAGCCAGCGTGTGGGTCCATTTGCATCTCTGCGTGCCTGCAACTGTGCATTTCTGTGACAGCGAGGATTAGGACGCTGAAACACAAACACAGTTTTGGACTGTTGCACTTCCCTAACTCCTTGGCTCGGTCATGGTCAGCGGCTCTACCCACAATGCCTGTGTTTTACTCGCCTGTGCCCGAGAACCTGCAGATGGGTCTGGCCTACATGGGGGGCTCGGTGTTCACAAACAACAGGACGGCCGACAGCGACTTCACCCGGGAGCAGGAGGATGCATCTGGTTGGTTTGTGACTGTCTGAAGCTATAGTGCAGTATTTCTACTGTAGGATGCAATGAAATGTAGCAATTAAACCAACTTTGATATCGTATATAAATATAAAACAACAGCTACCGTGCACTTTTTTTAAGTAAATCACTCGTTTACATGCCATCCCTGCATGCTAGGTTTTTATCAGTGCAGTTTGTTTGTGTGAAATCATTCATATAAATGCTGTTTTCAACTCTTCCAAAGCTGATACTTGGTGCTGAAACCCGGCATTCAACCTACTAAGACCAAACTTAGTTGCGTTTTCATCATCAGTTGTCTACATGAGTCAGTTTTTGTGAGGTAATGTTTAGTGGATCTACTTTTGTATGTTAAAAAAAGGGGATGATTTAGGTGAAGATGCAAACAAGAGTTTTGTATTTTTAAGTTGGATCAGTTTTTTTGAGACCTGTTGTAATTCACAACACTAAAATGAATCAAAATGTTTTTATATTACGTGTTTGCTTGATGTGTGTGTGTGTGTGTGTGTGTGTCTATAACTACAACAAATCGAGTTATTTGCCTTTCAGTGGTCAACGAGCTGGTTTCTCATCTGCCCCTTCAAATGCTCCTCTACTTCAACATGTTCTACTTTCCCTGTTGGTGGTTCTCTGCCGTGTTCATGCTGGAAGTCAAGGTTAGTTTTATGGTAGAAAAATGACTCCAACTTAGACACTACTTCTATCATTTTCAATAACGGAGAAATGTGACATCAAATCACTGACAAAATAATGGCAAGGAAAACTAGACCGCTTATGTTCTCATTCGTAGATAGATTCAAAGTAAGTGACAGAAAGTTTTAGCCTTCTCACCTAACACAAAGGCAACAAGAAACACAGAGACACTCGGTAACTGGACTCTTAAGACCCAGAAATGAGTACGACCGAGCTGTGCTTCACTTCATTCAAAGGCTTTGCTCAAGTGAAGAAAGACCCAAGCATTTAGAGAAAAGTCCTTTTGTATTCAAAGGTAACAGAAACCGTATTAAACTAAACCCACTCATTAAATCCACTTTGTGCCAAGTGGAAAACTTGTGACTTTGGCACCATCTAGTGGTTCCATCAAAAATGACACTGTTGTGACCCCTCAGAGGTAATCAGGAAATGTTCAGTAGCTGCATCACTGTCTATTCTATTTATTAATTTAAAAAAAATAAATAAATAAAATATTTTTAAAAAAAATAAAAATTTAAAAAAAAGTGAGCTTTTACGAGATTGAATTTCCCTTCTGGGATAAATAAAGTATTTTTAATTTCATTTTTCATTTCATTTCATTTCATTTCATTTCATTTCATTTCATTATTCTTTCTGTCAAGCTGTTTGATAAGTACAGATGGAAACCTCTATGTGTAGAATTAGATACAGATGCCACATGCAGGGGCTTTGAATTAAAGATCTAAAATCATAACTTAGTTTTCTGTGCTTTCACTAATCAAGCAAGTTTATTTATATGATACGTTATCATACACAGAGGCGATTCAAAGTGCTTTATTTTCAGATTTAAAAGAAAAAGAATTAAATAAAACATATAATCAAAATTTAGGTAATAAATTAGATTAATACAACATTAATTTGTATATTTTTTTTAATGGTTTGTGTTCTGAGATTTGCCAGATATCAAATCTTGTCAATCTCACACAGAAAAGTTGGATAAAGTTGAATCTAATACAGACGAGCTGGATAAAGTACACACACATGTATATAATAATTAAAACTGGCTGACTAGAACTGCATAAAAAGGCACAACAAAAATCAAAGCATGAAAGATTAAAATTAAAATGAAATAAATACAACTGCACACAAGTTTGCTTCACAGGTGGAAGACAGAGGAACGCGGCAAAAACGAGGTTGAATTCAGTTTATTATGCGGTTATTAGATCGTCTCTACGTGCTGACATCGCAGCTCTGCTCTGCCTCCAGTTCTACCATCTCGCCGGTTACTACCAGGCTCTGCTCATAACCGGGATGATCCTCCTCACGCTCATTGAAGTGGTCCGACTTTATCTGGGCTACGTTGGCAACCTTAAAGAAAAGGTAATTCAAACTCACATCCGCTTTGAAGCGCAACACAAAGCTCTTCTGTGAACTCCGAACAACACAGAGGAGGAAATAGCTGCTTAAATATTCCACCAGCTCTTGGCTACGACTGTCTGTTTTGCTACCGTGTGTGTTTCTGCGCTTTCATGTGGATACAACCGAAGCACTTGATGCCTGACAGATCTATCTTTGCATCGCCTCTGTGCACCAACCCAGAGTCTCTCCTCTTCCCTCCCTGTCATCAGGTGCCAGAGCTGGCAGCCTTCTGGCTCCTGTCTTTCATGTTCCAGCTGCCGGTGCTGCTGTTCTTCCTGACCGATGAAGGAATTATCATCCTGCCTCTGGAGAGGGCCGTCCACTTCCTCTACCTCCTCTTCCTCCTCGCCCAGATCTTGGCCTCCTTCATGGCGCTCAGGACCATGACCCGAAAGCTCACCTTGCTCTTCTATCTGCGCCAGTTTGGAAAGGTGGAGGGCTTCCGGCACGCAGGGATGAGCCCAGTCTACGGGCTTCCCTACCACCGCAGTGTGCTGCCGGTGTCACCCAACCAGGACATGTACCATTGACGTCAACATCCATCCACAGTCAACCCTCATGTGCCCTTGAAGCCATTTTTGTCCTTTTAATTTTTAGATCATTTTAACTATGCTAACTTTACCCTCAGCCCCCATAATGCATCAACAACACATTGTGTATGCAAAAAAAAGTGACACTCTGGACCTTAAAGAGAAAGATTTCCTAATCATGTAAACAAAAACGATCACATCACACACATTAGAGAGTCAGGAAGTTCTGAAGTGTTCAAAACCAGTCTCAAAGTCCGACTGAAATCAAAACTGTCACCTCCAATCATTACCTTTGATTTGCTGTTTTTATTCATTTTATTTGTTAGCTCATGCTAATTGACTTTTAAGTTTTGTAATGTTTTACGTACAATATTTATTGTTTTGTGGTTGTTCTCTGTTTCCGTGCCTACCTGGACAAATTAGCTGCTAACGAACTCTGTTGCAATTACTTTTAATTGTGTGCTGTCCCTGCAAAATAAACAAACTAAACTAAACTGGCATTTAAAGGGTTAAAACTATATGGGAAATAAATCTTTTTCCTTTTTCTTTTCTGTTTTTTTTTTTTGCTTTTAAAACAACTGTGACACCATGTAAACTAAATTGGCACTGAAAGGGTTAAAATCCTGAAAATTCAATAAATATTTTGTAGTTATGATCGGGGCTGATGTTAGCGAAACAAAATGAGTCATTAAAAGCAGAAGACAAAAGTGTTATATAACATTTTACTGAAGGATATTTTTGACTTTAAGGTCCCAAGTTTTTTTTTTAAATTAATTTATTTATTTTTCTTTAAACCTGACATTGCAGAAGAACTAACAACAAATTGAACACAGTGTTGTTGTAAATCATGGACACATGCCAGATTGTGACAATCCAAAAAAAAGAAAGAAAATTCCACTTATTATATATGGGAAACTTGTTTTTTTTTTTTTTACAGTTTTTCTAAATTAAAAACAGCTGGAAACAAACGACCATGTAAAGGGTTTCAATCTTGAAAATTAATTTATATTTGGTAATTATGATCAGAGCTGATGTTGGTGAAACAAAATGAGTCACTGCAGGTAGAAAATAACGGTATTGTACAACATTTAACAAGAACATTTTTGTCTATTGTGTTTTTTTTCTTTCTTGCATGAAAAGTATTCATGGATTAGTCGCCATGTTGTTGTTGCTCTTTTTTTTTCTTTTACTCTTTTTAAAATTTAGGAGCAACTGTGGCATGATGCAAAAAAACTGGCATGTAAAGGGTTAAAATCCTAAAAAAAAAAAAAAAATGACAAACATTTGGTAATTATGATTAGAGCTGATGTTGATTAAAAAAAGAAAAAAACATTCTGATTATGGTGGACATTTTTCATATTTTTGTGTTTAATGAGCTCTGTGTAGCTTTGTGTGTTTGTTTTTTTAAACTGATGCCTTAACTCGATGTTATGAATGTGAAATATCTACAGCTTTAATCTAAGTCTGTTGTGGCATTATGAGCATCCAAAAAATAAACTATTCCATAAAAACTGGCTCGTGTTCTGCTCCATGCATTGTGACTGCATTGCATTCTGGTCTTCTGAGGTCACTGATGTGCAGAAATTCGTGTCCCACATCTTTCCGTACGTGCGCCTTCTGATGTGGCGTAATGTGACAGGTCTTTAGAAACACATCCTGACATTTGCTGTCGATGTTTTAAAAAGATGAAGAACATCACTTTAGCCCCTCTCTGAATGTCAAAAAATGATGCCGTGTCAGCCAAACTGTCAGGGAGTGACACGACTTTCCGAAGGGAACGGGAGGGAAAACACGACATCAAACCGCAAAACGGGATCAGAAATATGAGGCAGAACATTGCCAGGAGCTGCTTTTATAAAACAGTGTTAAAGGGTTTCATGTTTTGCTTTTTTTGTACCGCTTTAATGATGATGGATGATGGAGAGTTGGTAGAACAGAATTGTTTTGCTAAGGTAGAATACATTTTATTTTCTTTTTTTGCCCAGGAGACTCGATTAGTGTTTCACAGGTATAAAGCAAACTGTTCTTTTATTTCTGGAAGGAACAACGTTAGACGCGTCCAATTTAACTTTGCATCATTCCTGCAGTGTATAATACTAACCTTACTGTTTGATAAGTGAGATGCGGGAATCTAATTTCATAAAGATTGTATAGTGACAGAATTGAAACCTAACTGCAGTGGAGCTGTGTTAAATATTTATGACCACACTGTGGCAGTCAGTGACCAAAAGAAGGATGGCGAGCGTTCGACAGTGCTGCAAAGTCCAATGAGAATAGATTATCATGCAGCACATGTCCTGATCAGGAAACCCTCTGGCAAAGGAATAAAGGTTAGGCCTGTCCGCAGCTGAACATGATTTATTGTTTGATAATCTATAACTCCCGCTTGAGTTCACATGAAAATCGATTACATAGTTTGTTGTCTACACCTCTTTTTGTTTCCCCCCCAATGCTTGAATATGAAATATTATCGCCGCACAACAAGCTTGCAAGCAGTATTCGCTGCTTCATTAGTGATTTGCTTGTGAGAAATTATTTAGAGTGCTGCACTGAATAGTCAACAAACTGGCTCTGCGAGAGACACAGTTTCTGTGATACAACATGCTTATTCCGCTCTACTTTACATTCAGGAAACAACAAGCTGCAGTGGTTGCTGCACTGTTGGTGGAGAACAGAAAAGGGAAAAAAACATTCAGTGAGGAGGACAGGACTCGTGCTTTCCATTTCATGTAGAAGCAGATGCTTAGGAGATAAACACAACATCACGTTTTGCTGCAAAGGGGAAACTATTTTTGACTCGTTGGAACAAGTGTAATTGACTTAACAAGCAAAGTTGCATCAGAACACACGATAGGACGATCGAAAAACATTTCAATCCCCCATAAGAATGCCTTTAATTTAACATATGTGTCACTGTAGAGTCTTAGCCGTCAGCAGTGGTAGTAAAGCAGCTTGGTTTGGTGCAGCAGCACAACCACAAAATGAAAGAAACCAATGCTGAAAATACACGAGGAAAACAGTTTATGGAGTGATTTAATATTAGTTTGTGGTAAATTCAAGCAAAAACAGCAGCAATATATCAAACTACATTCAAGCAGAAGAGGATTTATTTCCATGCGGATGCACACTTTACATGCAGCTGATAGATCTTCACACTTATTCATAGTAAAGTTGTGCCTGCACATACATCTACATATGCTCACACATCGTAGAATTCATATTCAACTGGGGATTTTATGTAGGAACTGGAAAACAGAAGGAAATCCTCCATCATGTCTGTCCTCTAAAGTACATGCAGCATCTGGAAACAGACTGGTCTTTTCACGACACTGTCAAAGCTAAAGAGAGTGGTTCCATTTTTTTAAGATAAAATCTGAAATTTGATAGCATCAGACAAACAGTTGTTAGAGGGAGAGAGATGTCGGGCATTGTGCTTTTGTTGCAGGCATCCACCAGGACTATCAAGAGGCCTCAAAGATGATGTACAAACAGGTGACAAGTTAAAGGCAAAACCAAGATAAAGTGTCTTTGTAAGATGTTGGACCATCACATGCC